TTGCAGCAATAATAAGTCTCAGAGTGAGCGAGATTTACTTAAGGAACTCTATTGCAGGGCATATGACAGCCTATCGATACCTCCGACATCTCAATATGACAAGATATAATAGCACACATTTCAGGAGTGTAGTAGGCCATTATGATGCTTTTATACAATGCATTTTCACTGCATTGCATACATTACACTGTGTCCAGCAAGCAGCTGATCCTGAAATGTTTTGTGTTGTTGATGAGTGGACTACCAGTCTCTGGTCTGCTGCACATTTGTGAAATGTTATTTTGGAAAAAATATGTCTGTGCTGTTGAAAACAACACCACAGATGACCACCCTTGCCATCCAAGTTCAAATGAACCCTGGTAAACTTGCTCCAGTGCCCTTTTCCAAAGAGTTAAGATCCCTTCTTTGCGTCTTCGCTCCTCCCAGTTTCCCTGTAAGAGGGTCGGGTAAAGCTGGCATGGCCGATGAGGATCTATTTTTATCAGCTGCTCCTGTGCTCCTGTTAAAGCCGAGCAGTACAAGTTCAGGATGAATCGCCCGGGTGACGATGTAAACAGACACTCAAACACACAGCCTACTAGGTGACATATATCCTGACAGGAAGGGGCCTGGAGGGGTGGGAGTGGGCTGATGCAGGCCGCATGTTTGACACATACACGCACACAAACTCCATTTCACATTACTTACACCACAGGAAAGCCAGCCAGCTGTTTACCAGGATTCCTGTTGAGCACATGAGTAAAAGAGTACACTGTAAACGCTGATTCCTCGATCGCTGTTACACTGAAATTTAATATGAGACACTGTCAGATGTTTCTTGGATTACATGAGGCTCATATGATGCTTGAAAACATTTCATTGTAATTTATTTTTTTTTACTATATTCCCTAGAAGTGATCTTTGAAAAGTATTTTTGAATTGTTTTTCATGTATTCAGAACTGGTCTGTGATGTTTACAATGCAGGCTACACCGTCTTGCATTTGGCTCAGTAACGCTGACGATTTCTTCACTGTTTGTTGCACAATCGCTGCTGTTGCCTAATGTGTCACCGGTAACTTTCATCAACAGACTTTCTGTGCATGACTTTACGCTTCCGCTGTAAACATACTGTGCTTAGTGTGCATATGTCAGAGATCAGGGTTTCGATACCCAGTGGCACCACTGGTTTACAGCTCTGTTTGTTGATACAGGTGTCCTGTTACACATACTCAATGTGCAAGCCTCATCACATGTTGCTACATGGAATTCTTTGCAGAACAGAAATCATTGCCTTTTAAATTCAACTGTCAATAGCAGAGGTCACGCTGTCCAATTTCTGGTATGCTACTCATTCATTAAACAGAATATCATGTATTGTCAAACATCCACCATACCTGCTGCTGAAACAAGCATGTATATACTGTATATATAGTAACCAGTTATCCATCCCTTCTTTATTTCATAATTTATTCAAACATCTTTGCACTCCTCACCATTGCACATACAGTATGGATATGCCATACATGTTGTTACTATACTGGCTGTTCATTCTGTTTACACTGAATGCAAAGGGAAAAAAACAGAGCCAGTTCCTTGTATGTGCACACATACTGATTCCGATATATAATAGTGAAGAATTATATTTTGGTTTAACATCTACCAGTGATTTAAAAAAAAAAACCCTTATATGTGAGATATGCCCAGGTTGGTTTGTATTACAGTTACTTTACAGTGTAATAAGATAGATATAAGGGTGTTATTGTCTTAGAAAACATGATGTATGTTAATGAATTTGTAAATATTATCCAGCAATATATATTGATGTAAGAATTACAGATCCTTTTTTGGTTTCATAATGAGTACTTACAGCTGGGAAAACAAACTTATACTTCTAATGGAGCTATTGACATGAAATCATTACCAGATGTTGGTAACATCCCAAATAATCTGTGCATACAAAGAAACCAAGACAAATGAGTCCTTAAATTAAGCCATGTGTAGTGGCGTGGAATGACACAAGGACATATGAAGAAAGGGAGGTGTGAAAAGGCATTGAAAGCCTTAGCCAACTTTATATCTCAATGTCACCAGGTGATGTTGAACCTATCCAAACAATTAATAAATGCATTGAGCAAATTAACAACTGGATGTCTCATAATTTCCTTCAACTGAACAAAACCAAAACTGAAGTACTTATCTTTGGACCCAAAAAAGATCGACTAAATATCAGTAATCAGCTTAAACTGGTCCAACTAGAAACTACTGACCAGGCCAGAAATTTAGGTGTAATAATGGACTCAGACCTGAACCTCCAGGGCCACATAAAAGTAATAACAAGGTCAGCCTTCTATCATATGAGGAACATTTCTAGGATTAAAGGACTGAACTCATCCATGAATTTATCTCTAGCCACCTTGATTACTGTAACAGTATCTTCACAGGTTTACCTAAAAAATCAATCAGACAACTGCAGCTGATCCAGAACGCTGTTGCTTGTGTTCTCACTAGAATCAAGAAAATAGAGCACATTACCCCAGTTCTAAAGTCATTACACTGGCTCCCTCTAGCTCAGAGAATAGACTTTAAAGTGCTTTTATTAGTTTATAAATCATTGAATGGGCTAGCACCAGAGTACATTAGAGATCTGCTATCATGGTACAAATCATCTAGATCAGTTAGGTCCTCCAGCTCTAGTTTAGTGACTGTCCCTAGAACCAGAACTAAACATGGAGAAGCAGCTTTTCGTTTCTATGCTCCTCACATCTGGAGCGCACTATCAGGAGAATGCAAAGCTGCAGAGACACTGAACTCCTTACTTATTTAGACTTGCTTATGAGTAACTGATCTTATTATGGCTTTCTACTTGCTTGTTTTTAATTTTGAATTGCACCTTGAATTGCCTTGTGCTTAAAGTGTGCTATACAAATAAAATTACCTTGCTTTGCCTAGAAGCCAGCTGAGATCTCTCTCTATTATGAATGCAATCCTGCCCCCTATCAGTGGAAATTAGTACTAGCTGGTTCAGTCCTAACTCATGGCCTATAAGAAAGGTTTCTCATTACCAAGGTGTCACAGCAAATGCAGCTTATGACGGGTAAACCTTATTGTTGCAAGACAGTAGGAGCCTTACTGTTGCAGAAGATACTGATGGGATCAGTTACGGGCATATTTCTGACCTTCAGGATGTTACAGTGAATTAGGGAAGTGGAAAGAACATCATTTCACGATAAACCAGCCACAATCAAACGTTCCTCACAAGATTTCTGATAGAAGAGTCAGAACCTCATCAAAAGAGTTGTCCAAGAGCCAAGAACCACTCGGGGAAAGCTTCAGAAAGAACTGTGGTCTATGCTAAGCAGCCAGACTTGGCTGGCTTATCCAGGTAACTTCTGGGTTAAACCTGGGTTTTCTTTACTATGAAGTATTCACTTCTTGTTGGGGTAAATTGGTAGATTAAGAATCAACTCAAGAATCAAATCAAGAATCAGTTCTCCAGAAAAGAGTGTCACCGTACCGGGAGATCCCTCGGGCACCTGCATGTGAACAGTAAAAAAGGTCTAAAGTTTTTTTTTTGTTGTTGTTTTTAAATACCATGTAATGTCTTTGATTCCCTGATGAGCATTATTAATTAACACTTACATATAAATAAATAATTAATACTTACATATTTTTTTCAATTTTATTGTTCTGCAGCTTAGAGAATAAACACTCAAACTGTCAGGAGAAGGTTATGTTCAGAGTTTGGGTTTAAAATCATTTGTAAGCAACACGTTTTCACTAATTCTTTTCTTTTAAAGCACGTTGTAAGTGTGATGTAGATTCTCTATTGGGACAATACATAATATGTTAAGCTGTACCTTACTAAAATCACAAAATGAAGCCAAACTGTGTCAGTTGTCAAAGGAAGCCCTTTAACAGTCTTGCATTTTACTGGCATTTTATGTTGTTTTGAGATTTTCATCACCATTTGATAACGTCTCTGGAGTAGGTGACACTCACAGGGATCCTTTTCTGTGGAAAAGTCACATGAGTCTTGAAACCTCCCTTCGTGATTGGTCAGATGCTGACGTCACCCCTTTCATGTGATAGCACAGGGGAAATCCTGGGTTAATTTAGGGAGTTGATAACCAGCGTTGTTTGCCATTTATCCTGATAGCCAATGTTAGGGTAGGTGAATCTAGGTAGGGGAAAAAGCTTCTTTGAACTCGCTGTGTAGTATGGAGCCCTGAGTTAACAGGTACAGTTGTTTCAAAGAAAACAAATTCACTCAACCGCCATGGCCTCTCTGCACGTGCAAGACATTTTGACAAGCCAATAAATCACTGGGAGAATACGGTCACAGATAAGAGGGTTTATAGCAATCAGCCTATAGTGAACACAAGTGCAGCTATACAGCCCACTCCACAAACCACTTTCGTGGAGTTTGTTTTCCTTCTCTCGGATCTGTAAGATATACAATTGAAATCTGCCAAAGTGCTGCAATTACTGGGACCCAGAAAGATCGAAAGTGTCTTAGATTAATGCCTGAATCTTACAGCATATAATGTTAATAAACAGCTAACAACTCAACGACACGGTGTCCTGGTGTGCTCAGCAACTTAAACAAAATTAAACACACGCATTTGGCGAATATCCGAATTGTGTATCTCATATAAACACGAGAAGGTCTTATGATTCCAGGCTGGGGCTAGCCTGACATCTGCTGGGACAAAACCAGCAATGCAATATGATAGATAAAACACAGGAAATAATAAAAAAAAGTTCATTCTTACATATATAAAATAATATTTGACTATGTGTCTTTGGTAACATGTAAATTATCCATTAGCTTTATGAGCAAAACTCCCATGAGTGAGAGAAATAAGATCATCGATGAATAATTGACCAGTTAGTCACTCCTCTGAGCTATTCTTGCTCCTCGTGTGAATTTCGTCACTGGCTGGGTGATGTAGACCCGCTAAATCGGTTATCTGTTCAAACGACCAGAAGTCATTGTTTTTTCCCCTGGCGAACGGCTGGTCATCGCTCTAGCTTGTGATTGGACGCTGGCGAGCGGGGGCCGGCTCAGCAGCCAATCCCGCCCTTCGGTGGCCCACCGAAACGCCTCCCGCATATCGTACCCTTTAAATGACGTCACACCCAGTGAACGCGATACGCACCAAATTTCTGGACAGTGGTCGGTCATTGCGGTAAGAAGTAGTAACAAGAAGAGAAGACTGACGCCGTTTCTGGTTAAGCAGACTTTGCTGCCGTCTCCAGCTGACCGGAATAGTGGTTACTCAAAGGTAGGAAGCCCAGCCAGGGCCGGACTGTGTATATTTGTGTGTACGAGCCTTGTCACTGTGAAATTAGAGATGGGTCGGACTGGGTTGTGGCCTGCAGGTGCGACTTCTGTTTGCCTCATGTAAAGGCTATAGAGTTCTTTAAAAAAAAAAACACTTAATAGGCTAAACTAAATTCTGTTGACTAACCCTGATAATAAGTGGGCTAGTCATACTAACAAACGCTTATTGAAAATACAAACGGATCAAATATTAACAGACTAGCTTTAGCTTAACTCAGATTAATTCAAGGCAGCGTTGCTGAGCAACAAAGGTTCCGGTTATAGTTTCTGTTCTTTTTTTCTTTTTGTTTTCGTGTCTTTTTTTAGTTTAGAGCTCTTTTTTTTCTCAGTTTGCTCCAAGCACCTGTTTATATGACAGAATTATGGTTCTGATTGCTCTTAATTGGGTCCAATGGGGTGTCTTAATATACACGGAGTCTTGTCTTGTCTCTAGACAAAGACAAGGTAAACAGGGGCTGCCAGGCTACCGAACTGCTTTGCCACAGCTCAGCTTGTACAAACATGATGTAAATCTAATGTAAGCTCATTCATTTTGGGCAATATGGGCTTTTACCCCCCCCCCCCCCCCCCCCTTTATTTATTTATTTATTTATTTATTATAGCTGGTCCTTTTAGGCCCTGGTATTTAGGTAGATATGTGTATTTTCTCTGAACAGAATTTTTAAATTGGCATCATATCTTAAGTAGTTCAAGTCCTATGTACTAAAAAACATTAAAATGCCCAAATAGATTTTTTTTTTCTTTTACTACTTAATGCTAATTATTAGCACTTCTTTTGGGTTTGTGAGGCTATATTTTAAATATTCCATAGTAATGCTTACGTGTTCTGCTTTACCACCCAGTTTATTTTCCAGATGTTAGTGTTAAACTCAGCCACAAGGATAACACAACTGTTAGGGAAACTTCTTGCTTGTCATTATTTAACAATGGCATTTTCAGTGGCATTTAAAGGATTCAGGAAGGTTTAGTGTTCAGTGTCCAGGTACTCCGTGTGCCCTGTTTGTCTGTGATATTGTCATCATGATACTGTTGTGGAAACACATGTGATCTCACTTCACTCATTTATTTTTGCTTTTCATCAGAGGGGAAAAACAAACACATGCAAATTATCACTCTCGGACACAGTAAAGACACACTGAGAAAACCTTCATAGAAATCAACGTCTATTAAAATCTTTTCATTAAAACTTAACCCTGTACCAAAGTCTAGTAAGAAATGTACGTAGGTATAATAAAAGCCCATGGCCTTCAAGGTGAACTTTGACAGTATATGCAGACATCCTCATAGGTGTCAGGTTACCGATCATTTGTTTGGCTTCTTTCTCAACCTTCAACACGTAATCTTACACAGGAAGAGAGGGACAGAATAGACCTTCATCACAGGGGACACTTTGGCGTCACCTCTCATTGTCCCAGCAGGACAGGTGAGCTTATTCCAGTGTTGTTGTTTTTTTGCTGGTGAGTGTGCTGGCTTACTGTAACTACTTAAACAAATCATCAGGAATTGTTTTGTCCCTCCTAGGCATCTTTAGAGGGAGTGCCGTCTGCTAGTAGCTTGAAGAACATATTCAGGTGGTGAAATGCGTGAAAGCCGTGATAAAGCTTATTGTCACATGGGCTGCTAATGTTAACATTCCCACATCACTTTGAAAGTGGTATGAAACCAACCTCATAGCTTATCTGCAGGTATAACATTACCCAAGAGCCACAATCAAACATGGTTATTAATGCCATTGGGCAATGACACTTATAAAAAGACTTATGTACTTTGAACCCAATAAGAGATTTTCCATAAGTGATAAGTACAGAAAAGTACACTGTTAAATCCTACTGAGTAGATTAGTGGTAATAACGTTTTTCACCATCCAGTTTGGAAGTACTCTGTGTGTGTGCACCTTTTTTTTAATTACAGATGGGAGATTGGATGTGGATAAAAAGATGAGCAGGAAGGAATGAAAGCCATTTGGATGTTTATAGTGTACATATACAAGGTGAAAAAGGGATTCCAGTGATGTAAGCACCACCACAGTTTTCCAACTATCAGCCTTTTCTTTTTCTGTGGCTCTTCTACGTGAAAGCTAGCAAGTGTTTCGGTGTTGGCCTTCTCAGAAACCACTGGTTGGGAAATGCACTTGAAAGAAATGACTTTTAAATGGCTGATCTCAGACATAGTTTATTTACTTTGATAATGGCTTTGGGATCATTTTCTTTCCCGTTTGATTCGCACACTGACAAAAAGAAGACATGAACGTGTGATATAATGTGATAAGTGTGAAAATGCAACTTGTACGGGCCTTGTGGTTACAGAGTTCTTTCTTCCTCTCTCTTATTCACGTGTTCTACTGGCCTCACTCTGTACGCTGTGAAGCCAATCTTTCTGTGTGAATAGTAAAATAATTATGCTTGCCTCTGGAATGGTTGATGTGTGCTGTGACTGACCACTGAATCATAAGATATCCTCTGCAAACATTAGAGTAATGTACTGTGCTTGTCTTTCCTCTGTGGCTGAGTGGAGATAATGGCTGTTTGCCGAAAGTGTGGAATAGTCAACAGGTTAAAGAAGTAGTGAGTGAAGTGTGTGATGTATACAAACTAGAAACAGTTTCTCTTTTTTTTAGAACTTTGGCAAAATACTGCCAAATATTACTTTAGACTTTCTGAGTAGGAAACTGGAATATGGAGGAATTGAAAAGGTATTCTGTGTTGCTTCAGTGTATCTGCTTTCTAGTCAAGAAAAGGGCCATAATCACACCACCTTTAACTTTTTTTTTTTTTTTCTCTTTTCCTTTTAAGCAATCGTTTGACCTACAGCCAAACATGGAGAACCCGCCTCCATACCCAGGCAATGGCCCGACTGCTCCTGGTTACCCAGCCCAGGGCCCACCACCTCAAGGCTACCCAGGGTATCCTCAGCAGGGATACCCTGTGAACATGGAGCAACCTAACCCAGCTTACCCGAACTACCCTCCCGGACCAATGGGACCTGGCGGTCCTTATCCTGGACCAGGACAACCTCCTTATGGGTATGCTGGACAGCCTCAGTTTGGCTGGCAGGGTGGACCTCCTCCCGGGCCCATGTATGGGGAAGCTCCCAAAAACACAGGTAAGCACTGTGACCCAAATGTGCTACACAACACTTGTGAGTCCAAATCCAGCAGTACTAGCAGAACTACAAGTTGTCACTGTCCTTACACAATTTTAAGTCCTGTGCTGAATTACTTGTTGACTGGATGTTATGGAGATGCACTGGGAGTCTTGCAAGTCTGCATTCAGCTGCAAGGATTAGCTACTCGCATAACTCATAAACAGTAGGAAAGCTGTTTGTAGCTACATTGTTTTCACACACTGGTTTTTGAAAGGCATTTTGAAAACATTTTGGAGCTAAGAATGACCATATTTGTGTGAGACGATGCAGTGCTACCTTGTCAGCTGGCTACTAAAGGAACTGCACATTTTGGCACCTGGCATTGGTTTTAGGTCTGGAGGTTGCCCCTTGTTAGTACCACTAGGAAGCTGATCTGTTAACGTTAGCTGTACCTTTTTAAGATGGTTACATAAGTACCTTAAACACATATTCTTTGTAATGGCAAGAGAAGGGCCTTTCCGCTGCTCTAGCAAATATGCCAGATAAGCAAAATATCTTATTGCTCACTTGATCTTAGACCTTTAACATTTTCTTGATGAGTTTATGGTCATAGCTGGAGTAAAACTGGTGGTATGCTTTAGGACTGGCCTGCCTTGTGATTAACAAATTTCTACTGAATGAACAAGCTGTATTGCTCAGTCACATCCTCCTGAGGCATATGACAAAAAATAAAGCTTCATAAACAAAAACTGATGTCTATGTTTGTGACAAGTGAAGTGAACTATATTTAAATACTGAAGTGGACACATTTCAGTGGGCTCCTGAAACACGAGTTCCTGTTTGGGACAGGTGTGTAATTTCTCTTAGCTAGTTTTAGATTAGACTGAATATTACACCCTCGCTGCAAGAAGGAGCGCTTTCGCAGATCATTCATCCCAATAGCAGTTAGACTCTATAACTCCTCAATCACAATGTCATAAGTCACTGGACACTGTGAACAGCCACGGTCACCACTTCATGCATAATGGTGTGTGTGTGTGTGTGTGTGTGTGTGTGTGGTACAATAGCTATATAGTTTATGTTCTTCCATAGTTTCAACCATATCCATGATCACATACTGTGTATGCTACCATTGTATATAGTGTATTATCTTACTTTTTTTCCATTGATTGTACTTATTTGTATTTTTGTATTTCCTTCTGATATCTGTACCTGAGCTGAGGTGACGCAAAAATTTCCCCGTTGTGGGATCAATAAAGTCTTATCTTATCTTATTGAATCTAAGCTTCATCAACGGGAAGTCACTACTTTAGCATGTAGTCGTTACTACTTTTTTTTTTTTTTTTTTTTTCCCCCTTAACACAATAAAGTCAACATTGTTTAACAAAGTATACAACACACTCGGGCAGAATGGGGGGAAAAAAAACAGGATTTCATTTACATGCTTGGCTTCCTTGAAAAAGTCCCACTTTATTAATGTAAGCATTGGGGTTTCGCTGCTTTAAAAGCCACCATTCTGTTCCCTAACAACATCAACAAATAACGTGTTGTTAAGTCGTGGTACTTGATAATCTAATTGCCAATTTGACAAATGCCTGTGTTTCTACCAGGAACCTTAACGTGGTACAACTTCAAGCATCCCCGAGCAGGCAGCTAAGGTTTCAGATGTGTGAAGTCAAGCCGGGTTTTAGATGAAAGGTGTGTTAATGCGGCTTGAACTCCCCACTGAGCAGCCAATAAAGTGTAGCACAAGCTGGGAAAGAAAGGGCACGTTTTAAAAATAAATATTCAAAGTGAGTATGCAAAGAGAACAGCCTTGCATGAAGAAAACACGGCCAATCCTTCTATTTATGAAAGCGAGCACTAAGGTGTTGCTGCTTTTGTAGCCTAAGATAAACCTGATCTGGTCAATAAAAGCTAAGTGTGCTGTGACTGAGATTCTCATTGCATGCCATGTCGATTAGCGGCATTAAAAATAAATATTGGCCAAACATTTATTAACCTTTGCCACATCGTTATCAGAGTTCAGTATGAAAAGTGGTAAGCCATCTGTCCTTGCCTATTGGGTCAGTGGCATGTCACCTAGGTAACTTGCCTCCCAGCTGAAGCTGTTAAAAGCTGGATTAGTGTTTGCTTCCACATAAATGATTAATCAGAAACACAAAGAAGGTGAGATGTGCTCATTCAGGCTGGAGCAGCTGTTAAAGCTCATGTATGGCTAACATGATCATTTGCCTCGACAAGTTTCCACATGTTGGTGAAGGATGAAATAAAGCCACTGCTACACACGTGAAGTAAAGGGAAAGCACCGAAGGCGAGCTGATGTTAGTCAAGTGTAATGCTGTGTGATCATGGCTGTGCGCTGCTATGGTATTACTGTAAAGATTAAACTCCTAAGATGACTGTAATTAGAGGAAAGGTGTATAAACCCCTGGTTACACTTGAACTCCCTGCTGGAGATTTGACACTGAGAATTATATCACTGGACTTTATGTTGTTTTAGAAAATAAATCACTAATTGCTTTCTTTTTCTTTAAAACCCTTTCCAACCTCTTTCTTCCATCTCTACTCTTTATTTCACTGTAGTGTACGTGGTTGAAGACAGGAGAAGGGATGACACAGCGGACACATGCCTGACAGCCTGCTGGACAGCTCTGTGCTGCTGCTGTCTCTGGGACATGCTGACATAACGCCATTCTCCTACTGATTGACCCCCATTACCCTCTTGCCCCTATTTCTGTGCCTCGAAGCCCATCGCCCTTTCTCCCATCTGACTTAAACCTTGCACTTCCTCACAAACGCCCCTCTGTTCCCTCCAGAAGTCTTGTATGTCTGTAAAGCTATAAATTACTTCTATAAATGAAGTCCTCGCTCCCACATGGAAGCTTCATCCCAGTGCTCTACCTTCATGTGCAACCCTCCACCTTCATGTGCAACCCTCCACACTGACTGACTGACCTGTCCACGGTTACACAGTTGCTGTCCACGGTTACACAGTAGCAGTTTCTAACAGAGCTTGTAAACATTACCAAAATCTCAGGCTCCTTACTAAAATTGTGCAACAACACACAAGCTACAGATTTGCACACACAATATGGTAGATGCCAAACATACAGCATACTATGATCTCAGGCTCATCCTGCGTGATTCACTTGGGCACTTTATAATGATTGCCTCTGTAATATACTCCTTCCTGTCTTCGTAACCACATAAAAGCTTTCCTTACTCCTCCCCTTCAGCTATGCTATCTGCAAAACTTCAAGGACTCTTACCCAGTATGATGATACCCAAAGGCTGTGAGAACCCCGCTGCAGACAGGGCTGATGCTTGAAATGTTTCCCATCTCATTTGCACACAAGTCATTTTAACAAATGTACGTTTGTCCATAGGCGGTAAGACAATAAATGGAATGCTCTTATTTTATTATTTTGATTAATGGCAACATTTAACAGCCACAATGTTTTTCTTCATATACAAAGAAATGACTATCAATATTCAAAGGAGCTTGCAAAGAAAAGCATCTGGACTTCTGAAGAAGCTTCTCGGATGAGAGGTGAAACGTCTTCAAGCAACTTAAAGAAGTCCAGACGCTTTTCTTTGCAAGCTCCTTTGACTGCGATGACCTGGATGACTGAGAACCTTCACAGACTATCAATATTATTTTTATCATATTAGCTTTTCAGCTTTATTTCTCACTGAAACAAGATGTTGTGATTGCTATACAGACTGATCCAAATTACCCATACGATGCCTTTTTGCTGTAGATGATTAAAATAATTTATTGCCATAACCATAAAAGGCTCTGTTTGGGTTGTTTTTTTGTTTTTTTTTAATGGGCAATGTGAATGAGGTATGTGTGTGTGTGCGTGTGCGATTTAGGCAGGGATGAAAGTGGAGATTTGTGGCTGTTGGTGACTGAGTTTTCAACTATTTTTAACACCAAATGTCTTACAATCAAATAAAAGGAAGGGGGGGAGCAGAGGAGAAAATGAGACATAATTGGCAGCCAGTAGTTGTGGAGGAGGTAAATTACAAGATGCATAGTTACTCAAGCATAAACACTTTTAGGGTACTTGTACTTCTAGTGATTTTCTTTTTTGCCACAATACTTGAAATGCAGGATCTTTACATTTTCAGAAGAAATCCTAAAATAAACTGCACAGTTGAAACATCAATCTGTTGCTTATTATCCATGTTTATGAATCAAAATTAACATTACTATATATATTCAGAATATAAAGAAGACTTATTTGTAATGTAAGTTTCTGTATTTTACTTACACCTATAAGAGCTTTCTCTAATTGGCCACTTGGGGGCACTGTGGAAACAGTCTATGAAGCTAAAATTCCCTTGTAGCAACATTTTCCCAGTTACACTACCACTCTGTTTGTTTTTATCAAATATAAGTCTGACACTCACCTGCAAGCACTACTGCTTAATGTTTCCACTACAGTTGCCAGCTAAGCTAGTTCACTGCAACTGGTGGTAACAAAAGGAGACTCTTTCCCCACCCAAACTGCCTGCTGAGCTAAGAATGAGCCATCACTGAAAAGTCGTGAGCTTTGAGCATGAAAACTATCACTTTACACATTAAACATAGCATTAGACAGTTTTCACTGTATTTCACTTCATTTGTGGGATACAGCAGAGAGCTCACATGTGAATCAACCGTAGTTTGTATCACATTTCTCATTAAGCTAGCCTCCACAGTATTTATAACTGTTTCAATTAAAAGACATTCAAAGCTTTTTAAAGTTATAAGTTTAACTTGTGCTTATGCTGCTGTAACCTACACTGGCTGGGCAATTTATTATGTTCTTATTACTGCTAATATGCATTCAAACAATAACATGACGGAAACTTAAAGCATTTAGGTTTGAAGACATGGCTGACGTGACATAGTTCAAACTAGGCTCAGAGTGGGAAGAAAGGTGATTTAAGTGACTTTGAATGTGGCATTGTTGTTAGTACCAGGTGGGCTAGTCTGAGATTTCCCATAGAACATGGGCTTGCAGAAAATGGTCTGGAAAAGAGAAAATATACAGTAAGCAGTTCTGTGGGGGAAAAAGCCTTGATGATGTCAGAGGCTGAACGAGAATGGCTAGACCCCTAATAGCTGATAGTTGAGTTACTATTGCCTGCCTAACGAACTCACTCTGTACAACCGAGGTATGCAGAAAAGCATCTCTGAATGCACGTTATGCCAAAACTTGAAGTTGATGGAGCAGAAGACCAGCAGAAGACCAGACCAGGCATCACTCCTGTCAGCTATTAACAGGAAACTGAGGCTACAACTCATAATAGAAGATTGGGAAAATGCCATGTGGTCTTATGAGTCTTGATTTTGCTGCAACACTTAGATGACAGGGTCAGAATTTGCCATAAACAACATAAAAAAAACATGGATTCATCCTGCTTCGTATCAATGGTTCAGCCTGATGTTGGTGTAACAGTGTGGGGGATATTTTCTTGTACCACGTTAGCACTGTTTAAATGCCACAGCTTAGCTGAGGATAATTGCTTACCATGTTTGTCCCTTTAACCATCTTCTGCTGTCATCTTTTCACAAAGCTCAGATCTCCTCAAACTACTTTCTTAAATATATGACAGTGAGGTCACTGTATTTAAACGGCTTCTACAGTCACCAGATCTCAAGCCAACAGAGCACCTTTGGGATGTGGGGTAATGGGAGAGTTACATTATGGACTTTGTGATGCTGTCATGCCACTTTGGAACAACATCTCTGAGGAATATTTCCAGAACCTTCTTTAGTCTGTGCCATGGAGACTTGATGCAAATCTGAAGGAAAAAGGAAGTCCAACCCGGTATTGGCAAGTTGTACCTAAAAGAGCGAGCAGTGAGCGTAAATGGACAGTAAATTCTACACATTTTAATCACATTACTAATACCCATTAATACAAACATTTTTAATGTTTATAGGAAACATTTACTAGAGTAGTTGCTGGTGGCATGGACATGAAGATGTCAGAGTTATATTTTTTAAACTGTGTTGTCTGAGCTGGCAATATATCAGATCCTGCCCTGTGCCTTATTGCGATAATTGCCTTGGCAACAGTGAGAAACCCCTAAAAAAAAGAGAGGGAGACCACAACTTCACCTGTCAAACCTGGCAGGTGTATTGCTGGAGACTAAGAGTGAAAGTGCAGGTTCGAGTCTGAGGTTGTGTTTTTTGGGGGCTTTTAAATTTGTAAGAAACATCATCAAAGGCACTGCGATATCATCTGCGACCGCACGCTCCTCCTTTATAATTAAGCCTTCATTCAAAATGCTGTCACATCTACTTTAGCTTATGTAAACATGCCCGAGTAAGTGTCAAGAGGCAGCAGATATAAAAAATGTAGCCCCCCCCCCCAGAGCATAGACGAGAGGGAAATGGTAGCTCTCTGTGTGTTTATAAAACACTGCTGTTAATTACCTCTTATTTTCCGAACAAACCTAAGGAAATTATGTACAGTTAACAAAGAAAGGGCTGGGTGCGGGCTGCCCGTTTTAATTATTGGAACTTTCCAGTACCAGCAACAAGCTCAAAGATACCTTTGAAATGCATTTCAGCATCACACAACTAATACGAATGCATGTCATAAAATAATGAGGATGTTCCGTATGAGTAACATCGGTAGTCTTCAAACGGAAAAGTGGGATGAAAGTGAAGTACACGTCACTCGGCTGAAGTAAACAATTATGTTTTATTGATAAGGTTTCTCAGAAGAGTCTCGTTTTCAGCGAATGTATAAGAATCATCCTTTGATAATACTGATTTGGTACATTATGACATCCAGCACGAGTCTCTTCACAGTGAGAGGGATCCATTGCTGCTACTGCTGTTGGGATCTAGGACAGCTTCCGAACAAAAAGAAAAAAAAAACAACCCCCAGTCAAAAACAACAAACTGGGGGTCGGGTGGGGGGGTCGATATTGTAGATATGGAGTATTAGAGTGCCACAAAACTCTAGAGTAGTAAGACCAGCTAAAGATTTTGCACATTACAAGCCACTTCCTCTTAGAAATATAAAACTTGATAATCTGAACAATATTCTACTGTGCTGCATAAAGGTAAGTCTATACACTGTACATCGAAATATATTTCGAAAAAACAGATTTCACAGTTTTAAAGACTTTATTTAAAGTATAAACTGTTTTTTTTAAAACACTTTATTACATAAATTATTCTTTTTGAGAGTGACTATTATTTGCCCTGGCAGCAAACGGAAATGAATACAAAAAAACCCCAAAAATGAACAATTTCTTACATATCTTACAAAAGAAAATAAACTCATCCATTTAATGTTCATATTGAATAGAACTGGTGACTCATTCATGATTGTCATATAGTACTAAGAATAAATAAATTTAAAAAAAAAGAAGAAGAAAATCAAATAAATACTAACGTAAGCATGTTGTCTGGACTCTGTGATCGGTGTGTTTGATCGTTCTGTACAGAAGTGCCTTATGTGAAAGTCTCACAATTCTACCGCGACTGGAACGTACAAAACTACGGCATCTACAGTATACGCAACATCCTGAAATTCAGTGTAGTCGGACACATATGTAAGTAGTATGATTCTTTTCCCCGTTTCAAAATAAACAATGCCGTGTGACACCACTGTCCACAAATATAGCCATCACATTTTTTTGACTTTGTTTTTGTTAAAAAGTTTACTTCGTAGTCTGTTAACAGCGTGGATTTTTCAAGGATGCCGTTAGCCCGCGTGTTGCTTGGTTGGGTGTCCGAGGTGGACAATGGGAGGCCTGAGACAGGGAGACGACTCATAGTGGTGGGCAACTCTTAGCGTTGCCGTGTCTGTCGCTGTGCACGACGTCCTCCTTTTGATGAGCAGTTTTAATGGCGGCACTCTGGAGTGCTCCTCCACTTTGGTCCCTTTTTTTTTGTTTTTTTTGCCTCTAGCGTCGATTAGAGACAGATAAGCCTCGATCGCAGAAGCCACCGCAGTGCAAACCCTCCGTGTTACCAGTAGCTGTCATGGACGCTCTCAGTGTGACCCAAAAAATATGGGCAAAAATATCACTATCTTTTTTAAAAAGGGGAATCTTCTTACTCATTAAGCAACAGTTCTCAAAGTTCTTCAGTGCTTTTTCAGTTGTTCAAAGTTTTTTCAAAAGAAAAAAAAAAAAACAGAACAAAAAATCTGACTGACTAAACTGTATTTTTTATTTGTATTTTTATTTTTTTGCCTGTGGCAGTAAAATTAACAATGTGTTGTCTGGTAAGTCATTCTTTTTTAAAAGTCCCTGCAGCGTTCCGTGAATAACCCCGTTTGTTGGTTAAATCTCCATGGGTTTTAAGAGGAGGGAGGGTAAGAGAAAAAAAAAGGAACCGGGACAAAATCTCGAGATGTGAAAGTGGGAGAGAGTGGGAAGAGTCCGCCCTTCCAGTGG